TCTGATATGCTGGCCCACTGGATATTTTAGACCTGAGAAGGGTTGGGCTGATGCTGGGTTCGGTGTGGACCGAGCCTGCATCCTCCGGTTACTACAATCTAAACTTGGTCAGGATCAATGGTCTTTATTTATCATTGTAGGTTAAGAGAGACTACTGGTTTTTTGTGTACTTCGAGGCAATATGTTTCGGTGAGCAATGTTATTAGGACCTAATTTAGTGATTTAATTTATTGGCTTGATTCATTATAACCTTTGGATTGATTGTGGAGCCCATCAAACATTAGAATTTTGTATTGATCCAATAATTCTATTGAAATCATATCATCATGTCAACAAATTAGATCAATTTTTTAGATCCAAATAGTATTACTTATGGTTCGGGTAAACGGGTTATCACATGAACAAGTCTGAATGGTTTCTATCTACTGGCCCGTTCTGTTGTGGACTATCTTAAAGTGCTTTGGGCTCATGGGTGTAGTGCTCCGAACGGGACTTTTCCTTTCCTTACCGTCGGAGTACACGACACTACGCGCTCCGACTTCTATCAACTCCCCACCAAATCGGAAATAAANAGAGTTAGTAACACTATAATTGGAGTTAAATTACAACTCAAGGAAGCCAGTTACAATTCAATCAAAATCAATTAGAATTGATTTTAAAATATTACGAATTATCCTAAATATTATGATCGATCCTAATATTTTAGAATTGTTCTCAAACTACCCCATTTCATCAAAGCCTCTTCTAATTTAGTTGTAATTTCAACCGATTTATTTGTAACCCTTTTTTTTTGGCCAAACACTACTATAAAGAAATGAGATAACGAAATTCGAACCTGCAAGTCTAAGTTGTAAATTCTATGTATCAAAGCCTGGAATCCAAGGTCTCACCAAAGAATCACAGAAAGGACCGATGCCCCTATCTGGTAAGCATTAGATCCTCTACGGTCTGCATTCTGCAATCTTCCTCCGAATAATTCTGAACCAATGTAGATAAAAATATGGTTCCCACAATATCAGAATTTCCCAAAACCCTAATTCTCAACTTTAAAGTTGACCCACGAAAATTCTTAGCATTTTCCCGGTTGTACCTCCTGAAAACTTTTCATTGCAACTTGTTTATTTAACAATTGTATAAATTATTTTTTTTCAATCCAACGGAGAATTAGTTACAGGTACTAAAAATATGCAATGAAGATTGAGGTATGTGATTTTTCATATGATGAGCATCACTCCTTTATTAATGACTAGGCCTGCAACTTGGTCTGAATAAATTAAACCCGAAATTAAAAATTTGAACAAACACATGTGATAAGATTTCATAATTTTGACAATCATAGATCAATGTTTTCTTTGCATGAATTCAAATTTTGAAAAATAGATCGACTTTTTTTTTTCTAGATTGGAAAATCAAGAAACTGAATAACTTGTACATAACAAATTTGTACATTGAAAAATGTGAAAAACAAGGAAGGGCAAAAGTGCAACTTAGGCTGGATTTTTTTTTTTTAAGTATCAGTCAAACTTCATGGTTTTGGAAACTTCATTGTTTTTTAGGATGTTTTCTGGCTGGTAATTGATGTCATGTTGCTTCAACTGCACAAACTTAACTTTGTCAACTGGCCAAACCCACCCAACACAGAGGAAAAAAATAAAAAATAAAAAGCTGACCCAACACTTAAAGTTTGACTTGTTCAAAACATAATCAGACAGACGACCCGGCCCATTGCAGCATCTTCCTTCTCTCTGTACTTAATACTCTGCTCAAATGAAAGAGGTGCTCTTATGATTGGCCGGAAACGATGGGCTGGCCTATCATACGTCCCACCCCCTGTCTGATATGCTGGCCCACTGGATATTTTAGACCTGAGAAGGGTTGGGCTGATGCTGGGTTCGGTGTGGACCGAGCCTGCATCCTCCGGTTACTACAATCTAAACTTGGTCAGGATCAATGGTCTTTATTTATCATTGTAGGTTAAGAGAGACTACTGGTTTTTTGTGTACTTAGAGGCAATATGTTTCGGTGAGCAATGTTATTAGGACCTAATTTAGTGATTTAATTTATTGGCTTGATTCATTATAACCTTTGGATTGATTGTGGAGCCCATCAAACATTAGAATTTTGTATTGATCCAATGATTCTATTGAAATCATATCATCATGTCAACAAATTAGATCAATTTTTTAGATTCAAATAGTATTACTTATGGTTCGGGTAAACGGGTTATCACATGAACAAGTCTGAATGGTTTCTATCTACTGGCCCGTTCTGTTGTGGGCTATCTTAAAGTGCATTGGGCTCATGGGTGTAGTGCTCCGAACGGGACTTTTTCTTTCCTTACCGTCGGAGTACACGACACTACACGCTCCGACTTCTATCAACTCCCCACCAAATCGGAAATATAAAAAGGCCGATCAACATGCATTGATTTTTTATCGGTACCAGTACGTAGATGATATAGGAAAATCAGATCATTAGGTTATTTAATGGGGTTTTTAGTTCAGATTCGAAGTTTTGGGTTTTTAATTGCAGCAATCTCTCAGAAATCTGAGAGATTTTGAATTTTGTGGAATTTTGGAAGTAATCAGAATGGAGAACGTAATCAACAAGATACGAAATATAGATGCCTACCCTAAGATAAATGAGGATTTCTACAGCAGAACCCTCTCCGGCGGATTTATCACCCTCACTTCCTCCATCGCCATGCTCTTGCTTTTCATCTCCGAGCTCAGTTTGTCCATCTCTCTCTCTCTCTCTCTCTCTCTCTCTCTCTCTCTCTCTCTTCTCACACACACACACACACACACACACACGAATCTGTTCATGTTATTGGATGTGAAGTAAATACATCTCTTATATGCATGTTTGATCCATGCCCCACAATTAGTGTTAAAATTCGAAAAGTACTCTTTTTACTGTGTTTAGGAATTACTGAAATTTATTGTTTTGATGTCATGCAAGGAAAAAAGATAATGTGGTTTATGTACACTACCGTTCTTTTCTCTCTCTCTTTTTTTTTTGTATGTATGTATGTATGTATTTTGCACTCTATTACTTTTAGTATTTGGCAACAGCTTGTGATTTTCTTTAGTGTGTATTGCCAAGTCGAGCATGCATAAGAAACATAAGCTGTGTGCTTGTTCTGTTTTTCTTTTTCCTATTGAGTATGTAGGAAGACTGGGGAGTGATTAGATATTATAACACAACACAATACTTCAGGTATGGGTATGGTAGGTTCTATGCTCTGATGTTTCAGAAGTAAGCTATAACTCGTGAATGTGAAATTTGAAGCTTTTGTTTTGTAGTCATTATTTGATAGTATATCCCTATTAAATTAAGAATAAAAAGAAAGAAAGAAAAAAAATTGTGAAAAAGTCAACAAATTATGATTACCAATTAAGAAACACAAGACGTTCTAAGCGTACTGTGATAATATGAAGATTGGTTTCCTGTTTATGCCTCAGCCTTTCATCATTTTTTATACCTTTTGCTGGTAATGTTGTTTTCCGAGTGCTATGATCAGCAGTTGCAATTTCTATCCTTTCTTTTTGTTCCTTCATTCTTTGGGGGTTTGTCATGAGTCCATATGGAAACATAGACAGAATGAACAAGAATAGTTTTGTATTTCTTACTTGCTTGTTGTTGCAGTTGTGATAATTATTATTTCGTTGTAGAACATGTTATTGTGATAATGCAGGCGTTGAAGATGGCTCACGTAGTACTTTAAAAGGTCCTACATTGTTTTTCAATCCTCTATGAATCTTATTTTGGTTAGGCAGTGTTATCAAGGTGGTTTCTGAGTTTCATAATCTTTCCATGATTAGTTAACTAATGTAGTAGGACTTCGGAACTGAAATTTACTTTGGCATGCTATGACAACAAGGAGAGTGTGGATTATTTGTTCTTGTAATTCACAGCATGGAGTTGAATAATATGTGTAGGAAAAAATAGCCTTTTGCACATGGTTTGTGAGGGAAGTTTTTGGGAGTTGGGGAGCATAGATTCGGTGTTATGTATCTTGTGTTGAAGACCGAACAAATTTGTTAAGGGAGTGGTAACAGTTTGTGGAAGTTAATGTTTAAAGCTCTTGTGCAATTGAGATAATATGTCTTATGGTTGCTAAGCTTCCATTTCCCCTTGCTATCTTTAATGTAAATGGTCATTGTCACCATTATGCATTTTAAATGGCCCTTGTGCTCATGCTGGTTGAAGTGATAAATTTTTGCTTCCTAATGTAATCAGGCCATATCCGTGTAGTTCACAGGTAAATGTTATCTATTTTGGAAAGTAAAGTAGATATTATGACTGCAGCAATAGTGCTTGTAGCCTGTAGGTTTGATCTTTGTGTTTTGTTATTGCTTCTACGTACGTACTTTGGTTTTTTTTTTCAATTATTAATTTCTTATTTGTCTTAAGTGTTGTCTTCTCGGTTTTATTCTTTTGCCTCTTCCCATAATTATAGTGTATACTACTTTTGCTTTATTTATTTTTGTTCTGTATGTTTACTTATGTATTTTTTTTCTGTTGCAGGATTATAGCTTCATGCTACAACTGAGACAAAGCTGGTGGTAGATACTTCAAGAGGAGAAACGCTGTGTATCAATGTAGTGACATTACTATGTCTCAGATCTTTATTCTCTCATTAGATGCTACTGCAACCATTATAGATGACTTTTGAAGCTTCAATTTTTTCTTGGGAGCACTGATCTGGAATTTAAAGGGTTTGATATTTTGGAAAGTATTGGTTATGTATCTTTAGCTGCTTTTTGATGCTATATGTGTTTACCCAGTGGCAATAATACATTTATACCATAATTTCAATAGTGTTAGTGTTTGTTCACATTTTCGTTATCATGGTTTCATGTGTGGAAAGGTTCTTAATTGTGTAATTTAGCTCAATTTTCACCTAAGGTAATTGATACGTTCCCATTGTTTTGCCTGAAAGTGCAGTTTGATGTCACTTTTCCCGCACTTCCATGTTCCATACTTAGTTTGATGCCATGGATGTCAGTGGAGAGCAAAACCTCGATGTTGTACGTATTTCTTGGAGATTATATTTTCAGGGATTGTGTTGCTATACTTTGCGATTCCTGAAGATGTGTTTCGTGTATAGGTGAAGAATTATAAGTCATAACCTGGTCCTCTCCTAAATTCACTCAATGCTTGCCATACAAGTCTTTCTGCATTATAAAACCCTCTGCCCTGATATCTGTTTCTGTAATATAGGAATTTTGACTATGCCGCCACTTGTTTGCCCATTATATTGTGCTCAGAAACAAATGATGATACTAAAGTTAATGTCATTTAACATATTTGGAGGCACAACTAAGATACACTTAGCATAGGTACCGTTCAAGTGACCAGAATAGTGAGCTAGGAAGTGTAATGCTAATGGGAGAAATGTAGAGGCATTGCACAAAATAAATGGAGGAAAGTACCGAAAGTGGGGCAACTTTCCACCATAATGTTAAATTTATGTTTTATAACCTTCCACTTCTCTTGAGATTCATCTTGATTTCATGTATTATTGCAGAGGCATGACATCATCAAGAAAAGGATTAATGCTCATGGTAATCTAGTAGAAGCAAGGCAGGATGGTATTGGTGCTCCAAAGGTTAGTGAAAAGATTTTTGAATTCAAGATATTAGTTATGAACTCATTGCTGTTTAATGATTCTTTAGCATTAGGGTATGCAGTGGACTGCACATATGAAACCTATCTATATAGCAGTCTCTAAATTGCTGTTTTCTGATCTTTTAAGAGGTGCTGAGGAGAGGAAGGCAGATATATTTTGATCAAATAACTTTTTGGGCTTTGATTTTCTGTGGCATTGTTTTAATGGTGGACTTCTTAATAAATTTGTTGGGTTTTATTTTTCTCGCGGTGGGCTGCCCTTAAATATGGTGAACTTGATGTTCGATGATTAGTGTTCTCTCTTTCTTTTGTTGCTGCAGTTGTGTCAAAAACAAATTAAGGTTTACAATTTCTTAGAATAACTAGATCTGTTTTGCCGCTGACTCATTTTGTTCAGTATGTTTCATGATTGGCCCAGATTGAAAGACCATTACAGAGACATGGTAGCAGTCTTGAACACAATGAGACATACTGTGGTTCATGTTATGGTGCAGAACCGGTATGCTTCTCTTTCATATTTCATGTTCAACTCTAGATCAACATTCAATGATGAAAATGGTACATATATTATATAGTCTAAAACTGTAGTAATCATGACCCAAGGAAAAAAATTAGAAGAAAACAGTGCACCGTTTAGCTGAATAAATCTGTCATATGCTTTTGTCATTTTGATTGGAACACTTCTTTTCTTGGCAATCTCCACGGGTTAAACTGCTAGAGACTCAGAGCTTGAAGAGGATATTGAGTGGACATTCATGAAGAAAATAAAATAAAATTTGTATGTTACTCCATGAAAGAGCGAGAATTGAAGTTTCTGATCATTGTTTCTCTTGGCTGTGGGTGGTTTGGTGTGTTGGTTCTAATTGTTGTCTATGAAGAAACAAACCAATGATGGAAGTTAGTTACTCTTTCTGCCCTTATTTAAAGAATTGCTTTTCCATTTTCTCCCCTGGTTTACTTTGTTATGGACGCCAAGTTGTTTTTCTTTGCCCATGTAAATAGTTCTTGCTAATTTGATTTGGAAGCATCAATCTTTATTTTATTTTCTTAATTCATGTTGTTTAGGTTTTCATCAGATTATTATTATTATTATTATTTTGAAAAGACTGCCAGCGTAAGGTATACATGAAGTTTTTGGATTGCAGTTGTTCATGAGTTTGCACCTACTTTCCCATATTTTGCAGTCAGATGATGATTGTTGTAACTCCTGTGAAGATGTTTGAGAAGCATATAGAAAGAAAGGTTGGGCACTTTCAAATCCAGATAATGTTGACCAAGTCTGTTACTATCCCCCACCCCCCATCCCATTTTATGTTTACTGGAGTTACACATATTATCTCTTGGACTGCTTTCTTTGGACACGTGGATAGGTGGAAGCAAGGTATGAAACTTAATGTTAATAGTTTGTTGTTGTACTTGTAATGCTGTGAAGTGAAAATGTATGTATTGTTGTATGTTCTATCCTGAATGTGTTGGTATTCCTCTTCACCTCCTCTTCTTCTTTTACGTAATTTATACAGCCCAGTGATCCGTTGCATTTGAGACCCTTCTGATTTCCAAAAACAACTCTGTTAAATACTTTTTCTTACTTTAATGATTTAAATCTTTCAAATTCTTTGTCATGAATCTTGAAGTACATATGTTTGTTTCATTTAGTTACTCTACACACATTTCGGTGGTAGAATCTTTCTGTTTTATAGGAAATGTAGCTCTAGGTTCTGTGTGATCTGCGGTATGTGGTAGTATACTGTTGTTTGGTTTATCATCGACTCTAAAATGGTTTTATCTTGTGGAACATCTGTTAAAATGTCCAAGCGCATGTATATATCTTAAATATCCCATCTTACGCATGAATAAAATATATTCTTTTGTGCATAAATATAACCATAACCTTAGTGTAGAAACCCACAAAAAAATAAAAAAATTGCCTTTGTGGTGATGAAGTATTTTGAGTTACACACCTTAAGCATAGCTTATATACATATTGTTTCCAACAAAAATTACTTATANAAACCCACAAAAAAATAAAAAAATTGCCTTTGTGGTGATGAAGTATTTTGAGTTACCTTAAGCATAGCTTATATACATATTGTTTCCAACAAAAATTACTTATATATGTTTATATTTCCAATTTAATTATATTTAGGAAATCACCAGGTCCCTTCATAACAACATTTAACACCACCTCGATGCATAATGTAGTTACAAAATTATTTTTGGATGGTTTTACCATGTCCTTAATTAAGTGTGCTGTGAACACAGAATGCCATTGATAGTGACAAATGGGCGTCGAATGCAAAAGCACAAATGCACATGGTTTGAGGTCTTTATCTTCAGTATATTTCTATTTGAGGATTGATTTGAATTCTTGTGTATCCTTTGCTATCTCTCTGTCTATGGGTGTGTGTGTCTCTGGATATATCAGATTTTTTTTGTGTTCAACCTCCCATTTGAATAGAGGTCAATCTATTGGGATACTAAAGCTCCCATACTTTGATTGATTTTATGATCCTTACCAAGTTTCTATGACTGTCTGTGCTATTGTCCCCCTTTTTATTGTTTAGGTAAAGCCATAACCCAAGACAATCTTTTCCGTGTAAGGCTTCACTTGCCTCAAAGGCATGACTGTTTATATTTATAGACAGCCCATTACAGGGGAAAGAGAGGGAGTAGTGCATCTAGTAACTTAAAATAGTTCTACTGTAATAGACCCCTTTGTAGAATACTGTCACGGAGTAGCAAGGAGTAATTGCTTTTTTTTTTTATGGATGATACAAAGTACATGACTAGAAACATATAAATACAATGTAATAAGGGGAAACAGGAAGTCGAAGAAATCTAACACAACTAACAAAGAAAAAAGATGATGCTTGAATATAGGTATGCAACTCTAATAGTGGTTAGAAAGGCAGAAAATTGCTTGTCTTGGTTTGTAAAGTGTGTCACATGAAATCACCACTTAATTTCGAAACCTCATCGTTTCTTGTAATTGCTCGTACATTAAGGCCAGCTGCAGAAGCATCTTTCTGAACCTCTTTGGTCACGGTCAAGTGGAAATTTTCCTATACTAGCATATGCCTGTTGGCATCTAACATTTTTCCTCCAATTCTAGAAAAAGGTCAGTGCCCTATTATATTTGGTTCTATTGTGTGCACTTGTTTCTGTGATTTTTCTGGTGGTGCATAATGACCTGTGATAAGCTGTGAGCCTTGGTGAATACTTGCACTCCTCATGTTACTACGTGCAAAAACCTACCTCCTACTTTACTGAGCCCTGCTGTGCATGTATGTGTGTTGTACTTCAATTATTCCTCTGATTCCATATCCTCTGGACAAATGTGAATTCTTTGTGAAATTTATTTATTTATTTATTTTTTAATGCACATGATAAGGCACATCTTGGCTGATTGTTTTGGTTGTACCAACTTTTTAAGTTATNTAAAGCCATAACCCAAGACAATCTTTTCCGTGTAAGGCTTCACTTGCCTCAAAGGCATGACTGTTTATATTTATAGACAGCCCATTACAGGGGAAAGAGAGGGAGTAGTGCATCTAGTAACTTAAAATAGTTCTACTGTAATAGACCCCTTTGTAGAATACTGTCACGGAGTAGCAAGGAGTAATTGCTTTTTTTTTTTTATGGATGATACAAAGTACATGACTAGAAACATATAAATACAATGTAATAAGGGGAAACAGGAAGTCGAAGAAATCTAACACAACAAAGAAAAAAGATGATGCTTGAATATAGGTATGCAACTCTAATAGTGGTTAGAAAGGCAGAAAATTGCTTGTCTTGGTTTGTAAAGTGTTTCACATGAAATCACCACTTATTTTCGAAACCTCATCGTTTCTTGTAATTGCTCGTACATTAAGGCCAGCTGCAGAAGCATCTTTCTGAACATATTTGGTCACGGTCAAGTGGAAATTTTCCTATACTAGCATATGCCTGTTGGCATCTAACATTTTTCCTCCAATTCTAGAAAAAGGTCAGTGCCCTATTATATTTGGTTCTATTGTGTGCACTTGTTTCTGTGATTTTTCTGGTGGTGCATAATGACCTGTGATAAGCTGTGAGCCTTGGTGAATACTTGCACTCCTCATGTTACTACGTGCAAAAACCTACCTCCTACTTTACTGAGCCCTGCTGTGCATGTATGTGTGTTGTACTTCAATTATTCCTCTGATTCCATATCCTCTGGACAAATGTGAATTCTTTGTGAAATTTATTTATTTATTTATTTTTTAATGCACATGATAAGGCACATCTTGGCTGATTGTTTTGGTTGTACCAACTTTTTAAGTTATGATTCCCCCTTCCATTAGAATGAGCATGATTTATAGATTTGTTTCCATGAACACATGGATTGCAAGATGATTTTTTAACTTATTCTGATAGCTTTTCATGGTATTCTATATAACATCAGTGCAGAAGTGAAGGTTTTGTACAATGGATTAAAGATGAAGAAGGTCAAGGATGCAACATATATGGATTCTTGGAAGTCAATAAGGTGGCTGGAAATTTTCATTTTGCACCTGGGAAAAGTTTTCAGCAATCAAATGTTCATGTGCATGATCTGCTAGCATTTCAAAAGGATAGTTTTAACGTAAGTAATTATCCTGATGCCTTCAGTCCTGTGTAGTATATGTTATAAAACATATTGTGTTTCAACTAAACGAATCTTTCAGCTTCTTTTTTGGTTAAGTCATTTAATGTGCTATGCTTTAGCCATCTTCTTTATTTGTTGAGGCATTTCCATATTAGAATATCTGTCATAATTCTGAATGCTTAGACTTGCAGTGTGACACAACAAACACCAAATGGGATGTACCAGTTTTTTTTAAAGGTTAGTGTTTTACATGAATGCCTCTGTAGGCATTAGTTTTCTCTTTTCTTATACACGTGTTTCAACTTGTGCAAGCAAGGTACCTTAGTCTTTAGAGTTCTGATTACCACCATATATGACCTTTTGTTCATCAAGGTCTTGTTTCGCTTTTTGACCTCAAGTTGAAGCTATGTAAATGTGGTTTAAATGGCCAAAGCATAATATGGGCTGTTTGATTGTTTTGGTAGGTTAAGAAGAAGCAAGACTTGTGGAAAGAGGCTGTTGTTTTTTTTATTTTATTTGAAAAAAATGTTATTTAAAGCACAAAGTGAAAAAATGACTATAGCTCTAAAAATAATACAAAAAAATGACATATTTACTTCTGTAGCCTACCAGCATCTCCAACAATGCTATCTAAAATAACTACTCAAAATATTTAAATATTGTATTATCTACTTTAGCTAACCACTTTTCAAATTCACTTAAAAAACGCTCTCTATTTTAGCTAACCACTTCAACTAATTTTAACTAACTTTCAATAATAAAATTCAAAAAATAGCAATTCAACTATACATTATACAAATTTAATCAATTATAGGCTAGAAGAGAGAACTCACCTCTCAAAAATTACTACTTTCAAACCAAATTCTCTCAAATTAAATCACAAAATCCAAAATAAAATCACCTCAAATTACACAAATAACCGAAGTCAGATTTTTGGGAGAAATTTATTGAATTTTTGGAAAGTTTTGTTGAATTTTTTGGGGGTGTTGATGGATTTTTGGGGGAGTTTACTGAATTTTTGGGAAAGTTTACTGGATTTTGGAGGGGTTTTATTGGATGTAACTAGTGAGAAGTGGCTAGCTAGATGTAGCTAGTGAAAATGGGGTTATGGGAAATAGATAGGGTAATAGCTAGTCTGTTGGAGCCACATTTCAGGAAGAAGCTATCTAAAATAGCTAAAAAATGGGTTTAGCTAGCCTTTTGGAGTTGCTCTTACTAATAAAGAAATGTGGCTTGGCAAGTTGCCTAGGAATAGTGCCTCTAGTGCTCTGCAAAATTATAGTAGATTGAGTCTGTGCTGATCCATCTTGTTAGGCATCGAATCATGCCAAGTTTTATTTATTTAGTTATTTTTTTGGGTAATGTGTTTTAAATTCTTACTCCTTCTTTCCCCTAAGATTCCATGTCAGCACTTGACCCATTATGCTATAATGGCTTCGACTCATTGTTTTACTCATCCTCCAGCATCTTGTGTGTTTTTGTAGGAAGTCAAACAGCTCGTGATTAGATTGATGCACTTAGAATACATGTGAATTATTTTTTGGCTGTTTGCCAGTTAGATCATAGATGAATACCCAGCAAGTTGATCATCAAGTGCATTCTAATTCTGTTGCTCCATGACTACAACTGCTATTGCGAATTCACCATGATAAATCATGGTAGTATGCCTAAAACTTTAGATTAAGCTAAGCTCGACAGTGGTACAAACAAGCATCATCATGTTTTTATGAACTCAGTTAGAGTAGCTTGGTTTCTTCTGCTGCTTTCATAAGAACAACTGCTACAGCAGTTTGATAGTGATTTAAACAGATTACCTCAGCGANTTAAATATTGTATTATCTACTTTAGCTAACCACTTTTCAAATTCACTCCAAAAACGCTCTCTATTTTAGCTAACCACTTCAACTAATTTTAACTAACTTTCAATAATAAAATTCAAAAAATAGCAATTCAACTATACATTATACAAATTTAATCAATTATAGGCTAGAAGAGAGAACTCACCTCTCAAAAATTACTACTTTCAAACCAAATTCTCTCAAATTAAATCACAAAATCCAAAATAAAATCACCTCAAATTACACAAATAACCGAAGTCAGATTTTTGGGAGAAATTTATTGAATTTTTGGAAAGTTTTGTTGAATTTTTTGGGGCTGTTGATGGATTTTTGGGGGAGTTTACTGAATTTTTGGGGAAGTTTACTGGATTTTGGAGGGGTTTTATTGGATGTAACTAGTGAGAAGTAGCTAGCTATATGTAGCTAGTGAAAATGGGGTTATGGGAAATAGATAGGGGAATAGCTAGTCTGTTGGAGCCACATTTCAGGAATAAGCTATCTAAAATAGCTAAAAAATGGGTTTAGCTAGCCTTTTGGAGTTGCTCTTACTAATAAAGAAATGTGGCTTGGCAAGTTGCCTAGGAATAGTGCCTCTAGTGCTCTGCAAAATTATAGTAGATTGAGTCTGTGCTGATCCATCTTGTTAGGCATCGAATCATGCCAAGTTTTATTTATTTAGTTATTTTTTTGGGTAATGTGTTTTAAATTCTTACTCCTTCTTTCCCCTAAGATTCCATGTCAGCACTTGACCCATTATGCTATAATGGCTTCGACTCATTGTTTTACTCATCCTCCAGCATCTTGTGTGTTTTTGTAGGAAGTCAAACAGCTCGTGATTAGATTGATGCACTTAGAATACATGTGAATTATTTTTTGGCTGTTTGCCAGTTAGATCATAGATGAATACCCAGCAAGTTGATCATCAAGTGCATTCTAATTCTGTTGCTCCATGACTACAACTGCTATTGCGAATTCACCATGATAAATCATGGTAGTATGCCTAAAACTTTAGATTAAGCTAAGCTCGACAGTGGTACAAACAAGCATCATCATGTTTTTATGAACTCAGTTAGAGTAGCTTGGTTTCTTCTGCTGCTTTCATAAGAATAACTGCTACAGAAGTTTGATAGTGATTTAAACAGATTACCTCAGCAAATGAATAATACAAATATTTCATGTTCCCGGGGAAAAGAAAAATCATAACTACTGGAAGAAGAGTTGAGTTGCAGATATATTGGGCTTTTTCTTTTTTGCTTGAAATTTTTTATCAAGCTCCATTCTAACCCATGACTTCAGTGCAACCTCAAATAGGTTTTATTGATTAAGCTGTTTATTGTTTGTTTCACTTGTATACACTCGGATTTCAGAAAATTTTGATCTATACTGCAGGTTGTACCTACTGTCTGCACAGATGTCTGTGGACATACCATCCATTCGAATCAGGTTTGATTATCATTGAAGTTATCTCTGGCTTTGATCCCTTTTTTATTGATCATGACATGAGATGCACCATTTTTTCTTTTATGCAGTTCTCTGTAACTGAACATTTTAGGGGTGCTGACATAGGCCACCTTCAGTCGCTTCCTGGTGTTTTCTTTTTTTATGACCTTTCACCAATCAAGGTGGGTTTTGTTGTCAAAAGCAATGACCTTTCACCAATCAAGGTTGGTTTTGTTGTCAAAAGCAAGTTAAGATCTTGTCAGTGTTGACACATTAGTGTACAGGTTGACTGATTAAGCTTTCATGCAATCCACGCCACCTTTTTTCTTAATTATATTGTATCATTTTTGCAACTTTATTTAATTAACGTAACATGTTGAGAACTCATCCAACCAAACTGATTCCCAGGCTCCCAACCTTTTTGTGACACAAATGAACTACCAGAATCTCTTCGAATGTGTATAGAACTATTTATCTTTTGTTATTTTTGATATCCTGGTGCAGGTGACTTTCACTGAGGAGCATGTTTCGTTCTTACATTTCCTGACAAATGTTTGTGCTATATTTCCTGACAAATGTTTGTGCTATAGTTGGAGGTCATACCCTAACTTTGTCACACTCTGTCTTCTGTGTGGGTGAGTTGGTGTGCTTGCAAAAAATAGAAGTGATCTTGTGTGTGAACAATCAAGTCTCATCATTCTTTTCTACTTAGTTTCTATGGGTTTTCAAAAANATCATTGAAGTTATCTCTGGCTTTGATCCCTTTTTTATTGATCATGACATGAGATGCACCATTTTTTCTTTTATGCAGTTCTCTGTAACTGAACATTTTAGGGGTGCTGACATAGGCCACCTTCAGTCGCTTCCTGGTGTTTTCTTTTTTTATGACCTTAGACCAATCAAGGTGGGTTTTGTTGTCAAAAGCAATGACCTTTCACCAATCAAGGTTGGTTTTGTTGTCAAAAGCAAGTTAAGATCTTGTCAGTGTTGACACATTAGTGTACAGGTTGACTGATTAAGCTTTCATGCAATCCACGCCACCTTTTTTCTTAATTATATTGTATCATTTTTGCAACTTTATTTAATTGACGTAACATGTTGAGAACTCATCCAACCAAACTGATTCCCAGGCTCCCCACCTTTTTGTGACACAAATGAACTACCAGAATCTCTTCGAATGTGTATAGAACTATTTATCTTTTGTTATTTTTGATATCCTGGTGCAGGTGACTTTCACTGAGAAGCATGTTTCGTTCTTACATTTCCTGACAAATGTTTGTGCTATAGTTGGAGGTCATACCCTAACTTTGTCACACTCTATGTCTTCTGTGTGGGTGAGTTGGTGTGCTTGCAAAAAATAGAAGTGATCATGTGTGTGAACAATCAAGTCTCATCATTCTTTTCTACTTAGTTTCTATGGGTTTTCAAAAAAAAAAGCACGAGTTTGGCTGACACATCACCATTCAAGAATATGCGCAGTGTTCACAAATAAGGTCAGTGTGGTGGAGTGCAGTGTCACGAAGCATTATCTCCGTTTGCAAGCCCTTTATTCTCTATGTAGTATCCGAAAACTTCAAGACACGTGTCTATACAATAATAGGACAATTGGCAACAATTATTAGTTGACATGGAAATGGGGCCCGACAGAGTCCAGCTGGACTAGTATACATGACAGCAACAAGCACAACACCCAAGGTGCGATGCCCCCAGGCACGGCAACCAAGGTGTGATGTCCCTAGGCGCGACGCCCTCAAGCATAATACTGCATCAGGGTGAAATACATCTCTATCGCATTGGAAATGGCAAAATGAACCTTTCACCAATGTTGGACAGAAGTGAAATCGTAGAAGTGTGGGGGCAACCTCGGCGAGACTCGTCTCCCCCATTGCGAGAATGGTATCCTTAACCTATTGGATGTCGTTGCTCAACTGGCCCACTGAACTAAAGAGGTGTTCGGACAGGGGAGTATGACCCTCCTCAATGGAGAATTAAGCAATTGGGCCAGATGAGCACAATTGTCAACGTCGGCTTGGGGCAGGATCTCAAAGGTTTAGTCTACTCAAGCATGCCTCCCACTGTATGGCTCACCGCTTGACTGGGATTCAGAGAGACTTCTAAGATAAGTAGGGTATTGGACCGGATCAGCATATTAGAGGATGGGACATGTGAATTGGTGACTAAAGGACCGAAACTATGCGAGTTTCCTCTATTGGGCATCTTGACAAAGGTCTCNGGCAACCAAGGTGTGATGTCCCTAGGCGCGACGCCCTCAAGCATAATACTGCATCAAGGTGAAATACATCTCTATCGCATTGGAAGTGGCAAAATAAACCTTTCACCAATGTTGGACAGAAGTGGAATCGTAGAAGTGTGGGGGCAACCTCGGCGAGACTCGTCCCCCCCGTTGCGAGAATGGTATCCTCAACCTATTGGATGTCGTTGCTCAACTAGTCCACTGAACTAAAGAGGTGTCCGGACAGGGGAGTATGACCCTCCTCAATGGAGAATTAAGTAATTGGGCCAGATGAGCACAATTGTCAACGTCGGCTTGGGGCAGGATCTCAAAGGTTTAGTCTACTCAAGCATGCCTCCCAGTGTATGGCTCACCGCTTGACTGGGATTCAGAGAGACTTCTAAGATAATTAGGGTTATTGGACCGGATCAGCATATTAGAGGATGGGACATGTGAATTGGTGGCTAAAGGACCGAAACTATGCGAGTTTCCTCTATTGGGTATCTTGACAAAGGTCCCGAGGAAGGGTCTAGAGGGGGAAAGAAGGACCCCGAGTAGGAGCGTACTAGGGGTATTGCGGACATGGTCCTCTCGAGGCCATGGTCCCATGGTGACCAGTCGCAGTCATAGACCTTGGGAGCCCGCTCTCCCTTTGGCTGTTGCACCTTTCTCATTGCCACGTTTAGGTTGCGTTTGAAAAAGCATCACATCTGCCTAATAAATGTTCGGACGCATGGCTTGCGTTAACGGCCACTGATATCGTCACGGTCGAAGCGGTTGTGAGTTCACACGGGTGGTAGGGGGTCACGGCGGGCAACCCTTTGGGCAGCTTGACTTGCCCAAGGTTTGTGATATAAATATCCACATTACTTGCCCATTGCAGAAGATGATGGTCTGGCAAGTGAGAGCATCTTACTATCTGATTATCTACTTGTGAACTTTTTCAATTTCTTAGTAATTCTACATATCTTTTATGTCAACCCCGACGTTGCTGATCTCCTCTACTATATATCTTATGGTTTTTTCTCCTTAATGGTCTAATTGATATGTTACATTTATTTTGTTTATCTGTTCAGGTGTGTTTACTATGTCAGGGATTACTAGATACATTCATACACCATGGCCAAAGGGCAATCAGGAAAAAGATGGAAATTGGTAAATTTAGTTGATTGTAAATGCACTTGCTATATGTCGCTGGTTGATTCGGTTGGATTGCCAAGAAAAATGGCTTCTTGAGAAGACCAATTCCACAAAGGAAACTCGAGAATGGACTCTCCTGCAGGGTTGGCGGGGCTGCTTTTGTTAACACCTAAGGTGTTGTCCTGATCTCTTTAANATTAAAATAATAAAAAAATAAAAAGAAGTTGCCCGTTACACGTGCCTTTACTACTGCAAGGTATGGAAAATACGTACATATCTTTACTCTACATATAAGAGAATCTTGAATTCTTAACGCGTACACCATAATGGAACAATCTTCTCTTTACAATTGTTCTCAACTAGCTTTTATACGATAAAAATATTATATAATAATCTCATTATTTAAAATATCCAAATTAATAATGGCTAGAGAGGTGGCAGAATATAAGTGAAGAGATAACATAAAGTTTCATAATGATTTTTTATACATATGTTAAGGGATGCAGCTAACTTAATATTTATCTAAGTTCGTTAAATTGAGAGTTAAGAAATTTAATCGAAATGCAAGAGATGATTGAGTAGATAAATGTATATGAGAATATTTTCGTGGCAACAAATTTAAAAGATTTTAAAACCTCTGTAATATTTTTTTAGCAAAATCAAAATTGAGTAGTACTGTGTAGCTCCCCCTGGTGGTTAAGAGGGGTGCCATTGTTGTAAGAATGGTTTAGAGAGGTCACGAGAAATTTATCTATCATAAATATACTAGTTTCGGCATGAATGGCTTGCCTTTAATGAGGCCAAAGAGGAGATTAGTCGAAGTGCGTGAAAACTAGCCCCTGGACACCCATGTCTGTCGAGCCAAAAAAAAAAATATATATATATATATATAGTAGTAATAAAAATATCTTAAGTGAAAAACTTTTAATTCACTATTTTATCCTCATAAAAAATTTTGCATACCATACTATCTTGTCATAGTCAAATATCTAAATTACAATTACATCTTTATGTATTTAAATTTTAAAATTACCCTCTAATATCTCTTTTAATTCTCTATTTTTGTATAAATATCAATATCTATAAAAAAATTTAATTGACTACGTTACCCTTAAAAAAATATATGCATCATTATAATTTTTAATAAAGTGTTCAAAAACTTCTTCAATATTTCATTATATTTTCCAAATAATATATATATATAATATTATCTTTTTCCATCTATACTACTAATAAAGGAAACTTTTGCCTTAGCATGAAAATTTTTTATTCACTATTTTACTCTTATAAAAAATTTTAAATACCACACTATCCTTCTGTACTTGAATATCTAAATTACCATAATATATTTATGTGTTTGAATCTCCAAATTATCCCTGACATCTCTTTTAATTTTCTATTTGCTATATATAAATATTAATATCTATGAAACTTTTTAATTGACTATGTTACCTTTAAAAAATATGTGCATCACAATAATTTTTANACGAAAAAAAAAGATTCAGAGAACCACTAGTAATTCAATGTTTAAATCTAGCGTCTAAATTAAATGTTAATGATATTGCTCATTTAACAGTAATTATATTAAAAAATTAAAATAATAAAAAAATAAAAAGAAGTTGCCCGTTACACGTGCCTTTACTACTGCAAGGTATGGAAAATACGTACATATCTTTACTCTACATATAAGAGAATCNAAAAAGATTCAGAGAACCACTAGTAATTCAATGTTTAAATCTAGTCTCTAAATTAAATGTTAATGATATTGCTCATTTAACAGTAATTAGATTAAAAAATAAAAATAATAAAAAAATAAAAAGAAGTTGCCCATTACACGTGCCTTTACTACTGCAAGGTATGGGAAATACATACATATCTTTACTCTACATATAAGAGAATCTTTTCGTGACTTGAATTCTTAACGCGTACACCATAATGGAACAATCTTCTCTTTACAATTGTTCTCAACTAGCTTTTATACGATAAAAATATTATATAATAATCTCATTATTTAAAATATCCAAATTAATAATGGCTAGAGAGGTGGCAGAATATAAGTGAAGAGATAACATAAAGTTTCATAATGATTTTTTATACATATGTTAAGGGATGCAGCTAACTTAATATTTATCTAAGTTCGTTAAATTGAGAGTTAAGAAATTTAATCGAAATGCAAGAGATGATTGAGTAGATAAATGTATATGAGAATATTTTCGTGGCAACAAATTTAAAAGATTTTAAAACCTCTGATATTTTTTTAGCAAAATCAAAATTGAGTAGTACTGTGTAGCTCCCCCTGGGGTTAAGAGGGGTGCCATTGTTGTAAGAATGGTTTAGAGAGGTCACGAGGAATTTATCTATCATAAATATACTAGTTTCGGCATGAATG